AATTGGGAGCCAGAGAGCACCCACAATTAGCGTTTTCATTTGGAGCAGATCCAACCTCTGGCGGTTTGTCCTTCCGAAGGTACTGCGCATGGAAACAGAGCATAATACGGTAAGCGGAACTGCAAACACACACAGCGACAGTGTGCATGGAAGACTGGATGGATGAAGTAGCAATGAATTACCCGTAGGAATCGTGCGTGGAAGACGGGGCGGTTGTCGGGGTCGGCGCACTCGGCGAGGATCCGGCGGTGCAGCAGCACGTCCTCCGCCTTGTTCACGTCCAGGTCGATGTAGTAGCTGCACCGTACCCAGCGGACACAGGCAGACAGACAGACAGACAGAGAGCATGGTCAGAGAAACTGAAAACGCGGCGTAGGCAGCAAGGTTTGATCTTTGATGTGGACGGCGGGCGGGGTGACAGACCTGGCCGGGAGGCGCTCGTAGTGGTCCTCGAGCACGCGGTCGAAGAAGGGGTCGGAGAGCGCCTCCTGGTTGCCGGCGGCACGCAGGCGGTCGTAGACCCCCCTCCTCACGTCGGCGGCGGCCCCGGGCGGCCAGCGGCTCTCGGCGTCGCTGTCGGCCATCCGCCCGCGCGTGTGCGTGGGCCAACGCTGCGGCCATCGCGGCGGCCTTTATGGGAGTGGGAAGAGCGAGAGACGGTGAAGACGACGTACGGCGGGCGGAGTGGGTTGGGTTGGCGAATCCGAGGGGCGTCTCTTGGCGGTTGCGGCCGGCCAGAATCTTCTAGAAGGCGGCGCCGGCCGGGTAGTTACACACTGAGGCGAGGGGCAGTCCCGTACTTTTCCCTCGTGTATCTCTCCTCCGCGACGACGCACGCACGCCCAGTCGCCCACCGGCTGGCCGGCGACGAGGAGGACCGAGCCCGAACCCAGGAATGGCGGAAAAAGAGGACGCGCCGGCGTGGCACGGGAGGGACATAGTGACACACTGACACGACACGATCCTTGCTCTTTTTTTAATAGTGACCGATCCTTGCTATGTCCCTCTAGATAACTCACTCATTTTTGTCAGAAAACTTATCATATATTCATTTTCAATCATGACAGCACAACGAATTAACATCAGAAATAAAAAAATACCTTTAAATCCGTAGACCACCTGTGATGGCTACAAGCACTGAGGCGCGTTGAAGGCGCGCCGCCGCCATTGCCCCTCCTCGCTGAAGCCGGGCAAAATTTATTGCAGTAGACAATCGGGAAGTCATCGTGCTAAGGCCTCATAGGACCAGCGCTGCAGAACAGCAACCGCCATCGATGAAGAGTAGCACAGATGGAAAGATCCAACCTGAAGACACATGAGCGTAGACGAATTACGACCAAATCCGAGCATTGCCCCTCCCTCGCCAGAGCCGGACAAAACTTGTTGTAGTAGACAGTCGGGAAGTTGTTGTGCTAAGACCCCGTATGACCAGCGCTGCAGAATAGCAACCGTCACCGATGAAGAGTAGCATAGATCAGAAAGATCCAACCTGAGAACACATAAACGTAGACGAATTACGACCAGATCCGAGCAAATCTAACAAGGATAGATCCGCCGGAGACATACCTCCACACGCCCATCGATGATGCTAGACACACTATCGGAGTAGGTACTAGACGGGAGAATCTTATTCCGTCTTCAGGGAGCCGCCGTTGTCTGGTCTTTCTAAGCAAGATACAAACCCTAACAAAACGCGAAGGAACAATTGAAAACAGAACCCTCCCACCGGCAAGGGTCAAGATCCACCGCACCGCCATTGCCCTAAGGCCACCGAAGATGAGGCGGACCAACGGCAGCGTCGACGGGAGGCAGGGGAACCCTAGACTTTTCTTGGGGAGGAGGCAGCCCACTTGGGTGTGTTTTTGCGTATCCTAGATAACTCACTTAGGTAGCAAATGATTCAAGATACAAGCAGCAAGATTGGTCATCCCAGGGAAGTAGAGCCAGGGGATAGGAGGGAAAAGTTGATACGTCTTCGTTGTATCTGTAATTTTTTATTGTTTCATGTCAATATTATACAACTTTCACATACTTTTGGCAATATTTTATATAATCTATTGGACTAACATATTGATCCAGTGTCCAGTGCCAGTTCATGTTTGTTGCATGCTTTTTTGGTTTCGCAGAATATCCATATCAAACGAAGTCCAAATGCAATAAAATTTTACGAAGAATTATTTTGAAATATATGTGATTTTCGGGAGGTGAAATCAACACGAAAGGAGGCCCACGGCCCCCACAATACACCAGGGCACGCCCCAGGGCCCATGCTCGTGGTGGTGGGTTGTGGTCACCTGGTTAGGCAGTTGCTACTCTACTTCGGGCGCAAGGAAGCTTATATTAAAAAAATCGTGTTAAAATCTCAG